CGCCGCAGGTCTGACAGAGGGGCAAATGTGCAATCTTGAACTTTTTCAAAATGGCATTAATTTACTTTACCTTCAGGCAGTATAATGATCGTAAGAAATACTTACTGTTGCACTAGAGAGCAGAGACTCTGGACTCTGGAACAAAAGTGGATATATTTCAACTTTCATTCTACAGTGTGTTCCATTTAAAACGCAACCAAACAACAATCACGAACTACGGTACAAAAATGAAGTCTTGTCTTGTCTTCGAGAAGGTGGTGGACATTTTCAGCATCTGCTGTGAAGCTGTTCCGTACGTTCCTGTAATATTCTTCCTAACAAATAAAAATTATCAAACAACTCGTTTGTCTTGTTTTATTGCTGTTGTACTTTGGGTTGCGTTTTAAATGGAACACCTTGTACTATTCAAGAAGTAAGCTAATTCTTGCCCTCCTGAAAATGTTTTTAAAAAATTGCATATTCTCCCTTTTGTCATACTTGCGAGATAAAAAAAACCTGTAGCTTTACCGAACAAGTGAGTTGCCTGTCGCTGTTGAATACGTAATGAAAATACAGGATGGCCAACTTAAACCTGCCCGCGCTACTGGCGTCCGGGCAACAATGGGCTACATGCATACAAGCTTATCATGCGTAAGCTATCGAGTACACTTGTGAGTAAAGAACGATTAAGCAGACAGTACATTCACACCTTGCTTCGTCGACATAAAAAAAAGATATTGAGATCTAAAAATCCACAAGTGATTTCTTCCAGTAATCGTTTGCAGTGTCGAACGAGTGCATGGTGATTGGGTGGCTAAGGGTTCCTGTACGGTAGCAACTCGGTATGTTTTTTTATTATTTATTACTATAACTGCTTCAACACCCTTCGACAGGACGTCCTTGATATGCCAACTTACTGCCACAATCATCCCGTTGATTTTCTGGAGGACTTTCTCATACGGGTTTTCTCATCCGGAATGTCCTCTATATTTCATCTCCATTTCGTCAGCTAAGCCTGTATCGTAGATTTCGACGGGATACCGATGTCTGGATATAGTTCATGAAACCGCTCGCGGCATTTCTTGAATGACCTCGTGATCACAAAATGCTCCACCAATCTCACTCTTAGTTGCATACCGCACGGGCATCTCGATTCGCTTCACGCCCAATACAGAACTCAGCGATAATACCGACATTAGTATGCATAAGCCTACACCTACATGTTCATCTACGATTGTCGAGGTGATTCATATAAACAATATTAGAAACAACACAGGACCCACCAGATCAGGGTTCATTCCCATCCAGGCGGCCGGGGGTCGGGCAGGTCTCCGGGGCAGACCGGAGCTGGTTTTAATTGGGTCACCCTCTATAATTTAATGGAATATATGCATGGGCGTGCAGATCTTCCATTTTTATGGCTACTTTTCTACTAGGCTTCTAAGAGGGAGAATGACACCCTTGAGAAAAGGTTCACTCTCCATTCTCGGTCGAGGAATCCACTCCGACCCACTTCCGATTTCTCTCGAGCCTGAAAAAACCTCGCTGCAACATCCAGGAACGGTCGATCCCGATCATTTTTAGCATTCACGAGTGAATATGAAATATTTTTACCGTGTGATACCATCTCGGACTTGAGAACGGATCGTGAGGAAGTATTAGATGCATCAGGGTTGATGGAGAACGCCTGGAGTGCTCTCGTTCGCATGCCCCGAGAAGACACACGTAACTGAACCACTCCTCTGCCACGTGATGCCGCTCGCATCCAACACGTGGGCACCGCATGTTGCCGGTTATCTATTATTTTCTCATCATTGGGTGCTTTCGGAGATCACCTTGGAACGTCAAGGGATATTAAAGTAGCTCTTTGAAGGCACTCAAGGTCGAACCTATCGACAGGCGAATTCGTCACGAGAATCCGTAACGAGGAAGAAACCAGTTACAGTATGCAAAGAGGGTCGCCTTATGTAACATCGCTATATTCATTGACGTCTTCATGGCGCCTTCACCAAAATCTCCTGATGGGGAGCGCGACTTTATACGTCTCCTAAAACTTTCTCAAGAAAGTTTCCGGATATATTCGCGCTCCCCATTTAAGGGGTTAACGCTAAAGGGGTTCCTGGTTTGTATTTGACGAATACGCACGTGCTCGGAAAATATCGACACAATTAAATATCGACACCTTTATGAAACAAACGTGCATTCATTTATAAAAGACTTTTCGATGTCAACCTAATCACAGAACATCGACTCGAGATTCGAGATTGCACACAGGTATAGCAGTGGATAGAACCATCATTGATTTGACAGAAATATATTGTCTTCACTTTAGGGTGCATGCTCCTCATCTACTTTTTACAAATGTCAACCTCCATGCATCTCGGAAAACCTCGACATACCTTGTATTCCCAATTGAACGTTCGAGGAAAGTTTCCTCCTTGCAATTTTCTGGTCATGACATCCCAAATGCGTTCGATCGGATAGCAAATCAGGATCCCGTCGAAGCGAGGATACTGATGTCGCCATCGTGAAACCATCGTGTCACCACAACCGCTGCATGACACGGTGCATGACCGATGGAAAATGTAACTATACGTTTAACAGAGGTCAGAGAGAAATGCCAGTTTTGAGCAAGCAGAGAAATCCGGTGTTTAGTCAATTTACAAATACCGTAGCTTCATTCACGAGGCAGGTATCGCTTTGTAGGATCCACCCAGTTTCTTAATCACCAAACGGTAACTTCGGCAAATTTTATAACTAATAGTGGGTACATTTCCCAAAAGGGATCAGAAAATAATTTGTGACTGAAAGAGTTGAAGAGAAACATGCAGAGACATTTGCTCTCATCAGTGGCCTCCACAGCAGTGCATGAAATGTTAGAGATCATACTGACATCTCTCTTGATTTTCAATTTTTTTGTCGTTGACATCGTCTTCGAAGAGCAGTGTACATTTTCTGTCTCCAAATCGACACCGTGAAGTGCTAGATGTCGTGATCGAAAGGGAGTCTAGGAAGAGATCACTTCCTGGCTAACAGCAACGTATCCAAATTCTTTTCTTTCTTTTTTTTAGGAAAAGGGCCACATGTCGACGAAAAACTTGGGATATGGGCTTGATGCAACTCAAGAAGAGATGCTGCCGTGGGGAAGTGAAGTAGAGTAACGAAGCAAATGCCTCTGAATCGCCTGCAATAACTGCGGATCTTCGACACCCCTTCACGGCATCGTGGAACCATGCACGAAAATGGAACAGGAGTGGCATCATGAATTTAAGGATGGGTAACTGAATCCAGGCTGTGTTATCCTCGACTCATTTTCTGGTCCGACCAAGGACGAAAGGAGAATCTACATGTGACTAGAGCATCCAGAAAACCGAGTCCCTCTCTGTCATGGGCTTCCCGATTTTTGTGTCTCTATTGACAGGCAGCTGAATTGCCCAGGCGAATCTCAAAACCGACTTGAACTCCGCTAGGAAAACACAATCTTCAGTGCAGATAATCTTAGTTGCCATCGTACCTTTACGATGGAATGAATGGCGACTGCCCCAGTCTTTGCGTTATTGCGTAGTGTCAAAGATATGAATTCTTGGAATTTTCAGGAATTCCTAATCGCAACAGGTGACTGGGATTCCCCATTCTCCCCCCTCGCCGTCATCGATAAGTCATGGATCGCTGTGCGATATGTAACAGCTTCTTCACCCACTTAAAAAAAAGGCATAGTCCTCCACCTTTCTCCATGCCCCATGCCCATAAAAAAAATAATACTTTGGGGGCGTAATGCCCGTGAGCCCGAATGAACGCAACGGAATTTCCACAGGGATATTGCATAGCAACGAAGTGCGTCAGCGTCTTCATTACGTAATCACTAGCTGCGTTTCCCCTACGCAGCGCGTGAACGACCTCTGCGATTTGTAAACATCAGATGTTACTTATCCGTGGGGAAACTCCGGCTACGTCTCTCTTTCATTGGAACTAACCTTTTAAAATAAACATGTCTCGGAAGACGACCCATAAACTTTATGGCACCCTTGGAAGCCGGCTCACTTATTACATGAGGGTGTCAGATTTTTCACGCGGAGCATGCGTGACATCGTTCTATACTTGGATAGTTGGAGATCAAAGCTTGTTAAGATATATTTTACACGACCATTGGAAAATAAGGACCTCACAAGGCAAACTGCACTACTAGAGTATCGATGTGCGATTCCTGGCAAACCCCCGAAAGAATGACACTAAATACGCGAAAACCGAGTAGGTTTTCCTTTTCTAGCTCCCGTAGAGAGCAATCGCATGAAATGAACGATGGAAAAGCCTATGGGGATGAATATATTTTCCACAAAATCCTTGCGAGTTTCAACGTCGCCGTCGCATTGGGATTTTATGAACCTTAAAAGACTTGGTGAGAAATTAAAATTGGCGGCTCAGTCAAATTGACTTCAAAAGCTATATAGAAAGCTATGTATTCTTCAATAGGAGAGAGAGAAAAAAAAAAACAGAAAAAGCTAAGCAACCTGTGAATTAAATCATATTATTACCACCGCTCCTCATCTATCATCATTACTATATTCACCTGTTAAGGATGCCCTCTGTAAATACAGAGTGAAAAAAAGCAAAAGCAGTGACTACCAGGCGGGAGGGGGAGAAAGGGAATGAGGTCGTTCGATTCCATGGTGTCCCACGAGAAAGACCAAAACGTTCTGGAACATTCTTTCCAGACACCTCCTTCTTCGTCACGCCCATCAAATCCACCACTCTCCCCTTCGCTCCACGTGCTGTTCTCCGCTAGTATACGGGGGATCTATTTTAATGCAGCTCTAACTTTCGCGATTTACTCGAAGTGAGCTTATGGACCTCTTCTAAAGCTAAAGAGCCTTGTAGCCTCTGAACGAGGCTCAAAAGAATGAGGTGGACGTGAAGCGATTTGGTGATTCTGCGCGCTTCTCGGTAACCGCTAATTAGAGATCTCGTCAAAGTTTTTGGAAAACGTATATAAGCGGCCGTTCATCGTTACTGGAACAGAGTTTTGTCGTCTGACAAGAAGGTAACACGGACTTGTGATAGAGAAGTTTCGTCCTGGATCACAGGCTTTCACTCTTCATTTCGAACGTAAGACCATCCGTTTGTTATTTTTTTAAATAGAAATTTGTGGGTTTCCCCAACGTGCCTATAATGTTTCCTTAAAAGTCATGAAGTAAACATTTATCAAATATTGTTTCAACTCATCACTTAATTCAAATCCACATCAGGAACCTTGGTGAGTAATGAGATATTCAAAAACTTGATGTATTCAGGTTCTGACAAGCATTGCATTCCCCTCGATTTAGATGCTAGGAAAGTATCTGTCTTGGTTCAGGCATCTCTGAGGAGGGGTAAGAGAGGCTACGATGTGTGATGCAAGACGAGAAGCTATCTCATTTGAGTCATTCTTCCATTTAAAAAAAAGGATTAAAAAAAAAGGATAAGGATTCGTGTGAATCGGGAATTTGCAAGAATAACCCGAAGGCTTGTTTAATCGATAAGCCAGCATCAGGAGTCAAGATTCCACAAGACCCAAAAGATCGAATGCTAAAAGATCCGAAAGATCTTCAAGAAGGGGGATAAGAGCAATCCGGAAAATTTCATGTCTGTGCGTCTCGCAAGCTCTCTGAGAAGATCACGAAAAGCATCTTAAGGGATTATGCCATGAGATTTCTCAAGGGAAGCTCCTTCCAAGGGAATATTAGCACGACTGCAAAGAGCCCACGTTCTCGTCTTACCGATTTCCTACAATTTTAGGATTAGGTAACGGATACGATGGATAACGAGAACCCCGTCGACACAGTACGTTTAGACTTAGATTAAACTTTCCATTCCATTCCTCGCGAGATTATTGGCAAAATTGGGGAAACATGGGATTCAATAAAGTTTGGTTAGTTGGATGAGTAGCCGGTTTTCGGGAAGGGAGAAGGAAGTGATAGTAAACGTGGAAGTGTTTCCAGAAGTTAGGATGGTAAGTGAAATCCCCCAGTGTTCTTTCTTCAAACCTATTCCGTTTTCGTTTTTATCGATGATTTAGCTCAAGGCCTGGGTAAAACTAGCAAATTCGCCGACAGACTAGAGGGACTTTTTTTTTTAAGCGACTAGAGTAAATAATAGATGTAGTTCGAGAAGAGTAAATGTAAAATTCTTAACACTGGCCGTAATAACGATGGGCTTCTGAATACACTTGGCTTGGGGAAGGGAACAGAGAGATAGAAATATGGGATCGTCATCGACAAGGGACTCAAATTCTCCGAGCACGCACAAGCAATGACAGCTAACTTACACAGGATTTTAGGCACAATTCGGCAATCCATAGCGAATAAGAGCGAGTAAGAAATTATTCCGTTGTATGTGGCATTGGTAGGGCCCCCGTTTAGAATATTGTTCGATTTTGCGTGCCTCCAAACAAAATGGGTTTAATCGCGATGGAGAGGATTTAGACTCCGGCTACTAAAATGGAGGAAGAACGGGGAATGGAATGCGAGCGGCGTTTATACGCGTCGGGACTGCTTTATTTGGAGAGGTTAACGAGGGGTGGGGGGGGGGGAGAGGATACCATCTAACTTCAATTAGGGACTATTCATGTGCCTTTTAGGTGCTCGAGCGTCGGAGCCACATCATGGAAGATATACTTGAGTGATCTTGAGCTATTTTTCCTTTAGAACTTCTTCAGACAGATGCCAAAAAGTGGCAGAATCCATATTCCGAACAGAAGTCGGGTGCTTCGATCCAGAATCTCTCTTTTCCATTCTGGTTTGGGGAAGAAAAGAAGCCTGCCTCTTTCACTTTCTATCATCTGACGTTGGCGCCTCAACTGATTGATGAATCCATCCAAGGACACAAAGATATAGGACCTTTTGGCCATTGATTCCTTAGCAGTTAATTAGTTAATTACGTCAGATTTTGCTCTCCAGGTATCCTTTTAAGAATAATTTCCTCTCGCGTTTGACTGCTTCATTCCTTTATTATCCTTTTTCGCCCAAAAAGGTCATGATGTCATCGCTCAAAGATGAAGGAGATCGCTTAATTTTTGTTTCTTCAATAAATGTATTTTATTAGATCTCAATATTGCTCCGGATTGCCGGTAATTAGACATACATCACAGCTATTTCGACCTGGATTGCTCACTTGAAGCAAAAATTCCGTGCAATATAAAAGGACAAAGGTATGTCACAGGCGAGCATGGAGATGGAGCCTCTGTTTTCCCTGTTTTCATATAGCATCACAGAGTACGTATCATGATGGTTTAAAAGATGATGGCCGAGATAAATAGAGAAGATGGTAGCTTTGAAAAGGGCGCTGACCTTCAGAATAACGTAGAGACTGAGAGGAATCATTCGTATCTTGTGTATGCAGGGAACCGGTTGAGAGGAATCATCGATGCCTGCAATCAGTAGCACGACCTGGGCTGAAACCCGGGATGCTTTGATTACGACCCAGTCACCTGAAATGACCCCGGTGAATCCCACCGGCAGCATGATGAACGGCACCTTAACGGTCCACGAAATGAAACGACGCCGACTCCGGGTCGCCTCCTGCTCTTATTCCATATCTAATCCCCTTCATCAGACACGAGTAAGAGATTCAAGTTATTGTTTTGGCATAAAGAAAGAAAAGAAACATTTACGAAGCAGAATACTTCCTCTTCAGTTTTTCAAGGCAGTTCATTTGCAACCGTATCTGCAGACTTAGAGCATACTCCCATTCTGTTTTTCCACGTGATATCAGTCATGAATTATCACACGGCGGGATTCATCACGTAGCCGTGTTATATCCTCTTATTCCCTTGCTGTACATGCAGTGCATCCTGTTTATTTTTCATAAAAAGGTGGAAGAGCTCCTGAGACCCCTGATATTTACTCAGGACACCATCAATCGTATTCGAGACGTCTTCGAGCAGGAAATGAAGCTGGGTCTTGCAAAAAATCCTCCGAAGCGTTCTTCCCTTCTGATGGAGAACACCTTCCTTCCGGAACTTCCCAATGGCACTGGTAAGTCTGAGAGAAGGAGGAGGAATATCAATTGAAAAAAGAAAATGTTGAGATGAAGCCGGTATTTGCGAGTCTTCGATAAGGAAGAATGTCGTAATGCCGGACGTTTATTTACGTCACCGACAGTATTCTCCTCATCCCCTGAATGTCCTATTCAGTCTAAGTCACCGATTTTCCGGCTCTCCATGGCGGACACGGATGTCTGGGAAGGAAGAGAATGTTTCCTCTTGTAACTTCTGACTTGAGAAAATTTTCTGATTCGGCAGCCTCGCGTGTCAAACGTTTTCACTGTACATATCGACATGCATGGCTGCTTCCAAGTCCCAGAAACTCCAGTCGTTTCATGGCAATCCTCGCTCAAATGAGCATGCTCTTCATTATTCTTGTAGAATTCGAAAATCAGTAGGCTATGTTGGAAAAAATACATTTTCTAGCAACAGAGTTGGCTCAAAAGCAAGCGGACTCAGCTAGTGTATTGAAACGCATATATCTTTAGGTTTTATGCTTGTATATGTAATGCATTTTCACATTTCATGTGAGGTCAAGCCTAAAGGTGTGACAGAAAATGCCAAGTTATCTTTTAACACTTGAACAGTGAACACTGATTCTGCGCACAATCCCACGGGTCCGATTACTTTCGAGCCACCCTGCATTGGAGATTTTTGCGGCAATGCTTTTCTAAGGAGGGCTAAAATCCGAGATTTCGCAGCACCCTCTCCTCCCCCCCCCCCCCTCTGTGGTTTCTGGGTTTTAACGGATTAATTGACTCGGCGGNCCCCCCCCCCCCCCCCCCCCCCCCCCCCCCCCCCCCCCTCTGTGGTTTCTGGGTTTTAACGGATTAATTGACTCGGCGGTCATGTTTCTCGTTACAGAAAACGGAGAATACCTGGCCTTGGACCTTGGAGGAACAAACTTCCGGGTGATGTTCGTGGAACTCCAAGGGGGAACAATCCAGAAACTGGAAGTGAAATACTACAATGTCCCCGAGGAAGTGCGGCTGGGACCCGGAGAAGATCTCTTCGATTTCCTTGCCGATTGCATCAAGGACTTCCTCGAGGAGAAACATCACGTCGGCGAAAAACTAACCCTAGGTCTTTAGCATCCAAGGCTATTCTCATTTTTCATCAATCGTTAATCACCTCTTTTTTTTTTTACATATACCTATTTCTAGCTACAGCCTCTTTTTCTTTGTCTGCATGTATTTTAATTAAATTTTCCATCTTGATGATCAGAAAATCGACGCGAACTGAAGTTCTTCCATTGAGCATTTTGAGCCTATTGGTATCTTCGTGCTCATGGGATTTTCCCCTCATCATTCTTTGCAGGGTTCTGCTTCTCGTTCCCGATGTACCAACAGGCATTGAACGTGGGGATTCTGGCGCACTGGACCAAGTCGTTCAACTGTCCCGGTGTCGTCGGAAAAGACGTGGTGAAGATGCTGAACGATGCCATCCATCGACGATGTGGACGCGCCGTCGACGTCGTCGCCGTCCTCAACGACACCACCGGTAACGACCTCATTCCATTAATCTTTCATCCAATCTTTGGGATTTTCGCAGATGCACGTAGGATGGAAACTTTTTCTTTTACGTCATTGTCATGTCATCGGTCTTATGACCATTGAATATCTCAACCAGAAATGCTTAATAAGACTACAATTTCTTTCATTGAGTAGCCGCGAGATGAATCCTTGCAAGTCAAACGTTCCCAGAGGCCTTTTATGGTTTGTCCGCAGGGAAATACTAGCATGGAAGTAGAGCAGAAAGTATTTCGTACCACTGATCTCAGCGACGACTTAACCTTTCCTTTTTTTTTTTCGTACGAACGTAAACTTGGACCCTGCGAGAGATGTCTAAAATCACTCCCAGTCTTCCCTCATCGGAAGGACAGACGAGGGCCGAGCACTGGGTTTTCCATGCGAACGATAGGAACACCGAAAGAGTTCAGTTTCCACCAACACTTCGAGATGAAGCTCAGTGATGAAGAAAACTGCGCGGATCACCCGGGTATCTCTCAGACTAAACACGTACACCGATGTATCGAGATACGCTCTTGCGCATGCTTAAACTCGGCTATTCGTAAGCGGACGAACTCAAAATTTTCTGCCCCGGAGAGATATTGTAAGTTCGTCGAACCTGGAAGCGGTCCATAGGGCAGTTCCGTCTCGTCTTCGCTTCCACGACACGATGTCTCAAAGGTGCAGCAAAAGATCTTCACTCGTCAAACCTACGCTCGTAACGGGGGCGTAGGTTTGACGTAACCAAGGCGTGGAGAACGGCAACATGAGGTTGCTGCTCTTCCACGTCACCAGCATTCGTTCGCGTTAGAAAAGGTGCAAATGAAGAAAACGCACGAACTGCAGCCGTGTTGCGTTCGTGAAGATCCCATCGTTATGCCACTTAGAGCGAAACAAGGTTCCCGTGCTCTTCGCGAAAGGACTTCATTCACGTGAAGGGTTTAAAGACTTCAATTTTCATTTTGTAGGTACGATCGTGAAGGGTGCATACATGGACCACGAGACGGCGATCGGTCTCATTCTGGGCACCGGCAGCAACGCTTGCTACTTGGAACGAGTGAGCAGAATCGAGAAATGGGAAGGCAAACACGACGTGGAGGAGGTAACATAGGCATATCTAAAACAGCGAATTTTTTGCGGACTGCTCTCGATTCGCATATCTCTGTTTAAATAGGTGGTGATCGACATCGAATTCGGAGCGTTAGGAGACAACGGAGTGCTGGACTTCATCAAAACGGACTTCGATCGAGAAGTAGACCGAAATTCCCTACTCGTCGGCTCTTTCACGTGAGTTAGGATAACAAATCAACATCTGGAAAGATCGGGTCATCGATGATAACTTGATTTTTTACTTTTCTCCCAGTTTTGAGAAGTACTATGCAGGGAAGTACCTCGGTGAGATCGCACGAGTGATTCTGGTCCGATTGGTGGACGAAGGGCTTTTGTTCGAAGGGAAATGCACGGAGAAACTCAGGACCCCGGGCTCCTTCACTACCAATTATGTCTCGCACATCGAAAAGTTCGTCTCAAAATGCCCCCATCTGCGTGAGAAGGGGACTTCAAGGAGAATTTTATTTTATTTTACATCTGATCTGCAGGGACACAGTAGAACTGAGCACGGAGGAGACGGAGAGAATCCTTGGTGAATTCGGTCTCGGCTACACACAAGATGACTTGGAGATAATCAAATACGTCTGTGCCGTCATATCCGAACGGGCTGCCAACCTTGTCTCCATCTGTAAGAGCCTTCCCCCACCCCCCTCCCCCATCGTTTTTCGCAAGACTTCACGTAATGACGAATATTCCAATGAGAACTCGTTGGGACTAACTTATCTGTAACCTTCCTTATTTTCATTAAGCATCGTCTCTCCCGTCGCCTCTCGCGTGATTCTTCCTTCCATTTCCGGAATTCGCCGAGCGTGTCTTTTCTTTTGCGAGGTTTGGCCCATTTGGTGCGTTGGATGAACAAGCCCCATTGTACGATCGCCGTGGACGGATCTCTCTTCAAGTACCATCCCCGTCTCAGGGCCCTCATGGAGACTAAGATCTCTGCCTGGGCTCCCGGCAAACAAGTACGTCTACCATCTTCACTCGTTCCCTAATTAACACTTTCCGTCACGAAAGTTTCCTGATCACTCCTCTTGGATCTGTCTCACATGATCTCTAAAGGAATCTCTCCTCTCGGTATGAGGCACTATGGTGATAGCAGCCACAATTAGAAACCATATTATTAGCAGAAATTACCATCGCGCGACGTCAGGGTAGTACTTAACCTGTAGCACAGGTACATCGCGAATGAATTTGATTGCAGCACTTGTTGACTAAAAACTCCTTTGCCTGTCTCAATAGAGCCTTAAGCAGTGACAGAAAGGGTTAAACTTGTACCAAACCGTCAAAAGTCATTTCCCGAAAGAAGCTTGGAACGAAAAGCGGACTGTAGAGGAAAGTCCTTGAAAGGAGGGGAATCCCCTCCCACCCCATTTGATGTTATGATGCTATGACGTAATCCACTTTATGTATTTGCTCTTTATGTACTATTCCCTTACTATCCCTTTCCCATACTTCATCTGCTTCATTTATCTGTCCACCCTCGTTTGACACTGTTCAGCCGCAGGAATTTTCCCTACATTTCTTTCGACTATTAGAAGCATGTTTATAAAAGACGATAATGTCTGTACTCGAGTAGCCTGCTACTGGTGTATGACAATTCAATTTAAAGCATTTAGCAACATAATTAGAGACACCATTTTTTTTTAGCCTCAAGCCTAATTACTTCTAATTCACCTCCACCAATTTTGTATTTATTTTAGTCAAGTACGTAGTCTATTCGAAAAGCCTTTCAGCTACAGTTCTTGTTAAGTTGTGCAGTAAGATAAATGACTTGGCAATGGCAATAAAAAGGGAATGGTTTTGAGTCGATCAGTCATATCATTAGGTGAAAAAGTTGAAAAGCTTAGGACAAGACTCTGATCTATATCAAACAGGATCAACAATGTTTCATAACTTGGGATCTTGTGTTGCAGTTCAAATTCCTGTTGGCGGAGGATGGGAGCGGAAAGGGTGCAGCACTGATTGCAGCCATAGCCACACGCCTTAGTGGTCATTGCAAAGAAATCATCAGTGGCGAATATTAAATCGACTCAAGTGTGTTCACATCAAGATCGCATCATTCGTTCATCTTCAAAGAACACACCAGATATCAAATATTTTTCTATTTATTTTGAATTTTAAAAGCACAATTTCCTTTCTAGTGTTCTGTAGAAACATGCAAAGGAATTCTTTGATCACTCATGACCAACATACCACATTCATTTGTAATGATTGTAAATACATTAGCTATGTAAAACAGGTCTCTTTGAAACAGCAAAGCAAGTATGACAGGTTAGCCTTCTCTTTTGTCTATTTCTCACTCTTTTGTAAGTTTGCCAAGTTACAAAATGAAGTTGTTTTAAAATGGCATCGAAGTTGATGAAATTTTTATTTATGTTCAAGGATTCAACAATCAATGCAGACATACCATAAAACTCCAGAAATGATATAGCTGCAAATGAGAAGATTCCCGAGCATCTTATTGCGTGAGAAGGAATATCCTTCATGAAGGGAACCCAGATAAAAAACCAGCAAAAGTGACAGACTATAACACCCTGTGCAAGAACTACAAAGCTCTCTCCATGAATGACCAGTTAGTAAATTTCTATGAACAAAAAAAACTCAGTGCAAGTTTGCAAAGCTCATAATTACATTATGTAGATACAAAATGCAGATGAAATTATATTAGAGGCATGTATTTGAAGAGATATGAGCTGCAGTCTCAAAACTGAAACTAGCACCACATTATGAAGAGTTCAAAGGTTGCATTCATTCAAAAGTGCCACGAGTCATGCTAGCAAAAGGCTAACTTTAATATCTGTTGAAGAGTACCTGATATACAAAAGCACCATTGCCATCAAATATGTATCAAGTAAGCTATGGAATGAAAATGAAGAGTGTTCTTGAAAAGTTTCAAGGATAAAACATAGGGTCTTGTTGATCCATGGGACTAACAGACAGATTATGCTCACATGGACAGGCTGAGGAAAAACTCAAATTTGGGAGATCGAATGTGGAACCAGCCACTGCAAAGACCTGAATTATTGAAATAATCACATGAAATAAAATAAATGGCCAACTGAAATATAAAAACCACTGGTGATGATTGTGCATCTCCTTGCATGGATGCCTGGAAGTCTCCCACATCAGCCAGTCTCAAGTTCATTGACTAGGAAATGATAGACAAAGTTGGCTTTTTTACGTTCAGTGATCATGAGCTGCTGCTGTTGCAACTGGGTTCCTGCAGATCCAGGACGGGAACCAGGCACAGACTGCTTCGACTGTTGTGGGTCCCGGAACAGAATTCCACTCAGCAATGACGCTGCTCATAAATATCACCACACACATTCATCAGCAGTACTGTAATATCTTCATGGATTTGACTGAAGTGTGAACATAACTAACCCAGAGTTTTGGGATCAAGCCCATTATCAGCAGAGTAAAGGAGAGCTTCCTTGAAGAAAGCACACAGGTAGATGAACAAGTTGAGATGATGCTCTGGGAACTGTGTGATCACCTGCAGATGCAAAACATATGTGAAACAACCAACATGCTACCAGAAATTTAATCCATGGCGAACTTTGGACCTGCTGGCACATGAGGTAATTGGGGGATGCTTCAAGGCACCGGGTATAGAATTCATTGGAAATCACTGGTTCTGGCAGGGCCTCAAGGAAGACAAGTAGTGCCTCTGCCACAGAATGGGGGCTCCCAGCTGCATTCCCATCCATTAAGGAATATCCTTTTAAAATAGATCACTTCACTTAATACTTTGCTATTTTTTTCACAACTTTCATTACATTCAACAAGGGTGCCCTTTATAAGAAAAGTCTTGCCCTAATGATACTTTTGAACCAACTTATACTGGATATTGCACACTTGAAGACTGAATAAGCAAAATTTATATGTGAAGGCCAGAGTAATACAGGGTGATTCAAAAGTCATGCACACCAACCATAGAGACATACTTTTTCCTGTTTACAGAAATCATTACTATCATAGACTCACTACATTGTAACACTGGTGGAGAGCAACATTGGGCATTACATTCATGTGCGCAGCAGCTTGACCCTATCATTAGGATATTTTGTTTGGTGTGTACTTGTTAGGTGTACATGACTTTTGGATCACTCTGTACTTCACAGTCAAATTAGCATTTGTGGGGAGGGGGAATTCCACAGAAAGGAAAGAGTAAAAAATCTTCATCATCTTCACTATTCACAAGATGGGGGATAAGTGCATACCTAACATGGGAAGTTAAACCTTTCAAACATAATGTTCCTTTCATATTTAACCCATTAAGACACCAACAATTTTCCCCAAAGTCTACCAGAATTCTCCTGTGTGCAGCTGCACACAAAGAATTGAGTTAATATTCCCTGCATATCCCTGCTCCTGAGGCTAAAGGTATGGGTGCTGGAGCAACTGTATGGAGCTCTGCCAGAGTTGTCAAGTGAACACTACATTTGCCATAGACAATAATTCAGGGTAGGGAAAGTAGTCCTTGATGGATATAAAAAATAGAAGCAAACCCTTAAAAAAAATTTTGAGAACATAAAAAAACTTACATTTTTATGCATACTTTTTATTTGCATAAGCTTTACTTATTTATTTTGGTCTGCCAAGTCATATTCATTCATGAACAGCTTAAAAAAAAGGAATATTTGGAGAAGCATTAATTTTCCCTAAATTTCTATGTCGATGAAAAAAAATTTACACCTGAGACCATGCATTCTTCCTTGCATTCCTCGACTGAAGTGCAAATCTTCAACACAAGCAATCATAGAATGGTTTTAAACATCAAAGGTGGGCACTGAAGCTTGAAATTCATTGTATAGAGTAGCCATACCATTTCAATCCAGGATGAGTTCCAGAATTTAAAATTCACAGCCCAGATCACACCATTTCCACCAAGGGAGAAGCCAAACATTTTTGGCAATATCAATTGCAAAAATTTTGTGGACCATATCTGTGGTGATAAAGACATCACAGAAATTTATCTAGGCAAAAGAATAAGTGGAACACTTAAAAAGAGAGATAAAGCAAACTTGGCCTGGGTCAAGTTGCTTTCAATGAGTTATGATGAATGTCTTCATTAAATGAGGCAAATGTAAATGCAGTATACCCTTACTCCAGGACTTAGCAATATGGGGAAAATTACAAGGGTCTCATAAGCCACAGAACAGAAACTTTTCCTCTTAGCAGGTAAGTTGAAGGCAATGTAAAATACTGAACAAGGGACAATATAAGGCAATATGATAGACAAGAGAGTGGATATCATTTCAATGCATGGAGACAACCACCTTTCATTGTGAGATTTTGTTTAATATAACATTGAGTTCTTTATTTCCGCAAATATATTGCTGTCTGGTGACATTTGGGACATTGTGTGCTCCCTTCCCTACTCCACTTTCAAGCCTGATTAGACTTGGAACTTCCCAGCAGACACTCAGGTGGCATCCATGTCATGGAAAGCAAAATGACAGGTATTTGAATTGGTCAAATCAGATTTTTTCTTAAGAGGAAACACTGAACACTGAACAACATAGATGAAAAGCTAAAAAATATTTTTAAATCATAAGAATGGCAATCTGTTGAGTTAATCTTATCCCCATAGATGTTTATTTTATAGTCATAAATGAATCTGACAGATGTCACAAAATACCAAGTGCTACAAAAAATCATCCTGTTTGATACCTTATGAAGCCTTCTGCTGAAATATTAGGTTTACAATTTTTTAACGTCATTTCAAAAATCACCAAAGATTTGTTAGGATAAGACTTGGGATGTTACAATAGTAGTTTTAAAAAAACCTATGCATCTACCTGAAGCATCAAAACAACAGCAAAAAATATGATAGTAAGTCAAGAAGGAAAGTGAATTTTCCATCAAAGACCATCCCAACTCCTTGTGTCACACACACAAATGCTGTACTGTTTTCTTTTTTGGCTTTTTTTGGCTTATATGGTACTGGTTGCAGGCAGTCAAACATGGCAGCACCCTTGGAGACTTGCACCTTTACAGAGCAATGAGGTATGATCAGATTCCTCTTGTTTGAAGAAATTTGTTGGCAAATGTCTAAGCAGTATGGAAGAAGCTGCATGTCATCCAAAAATGTGTACCAGTACCATGAATGATTCAGAAAAGGACATGCCAGAATTTTTTATGAAACATGTTGGAGAGGTTGGAAGGGATTAAACCCTAGTACACTTTTTGGATGACAAGCAGCTTCCTCTGTACTGTCTGCAAATTTGCTGATAAATTTAATTAATTTATATGCCTTCAAACAACAAGAATCTGACCACATTCCATTGATCATTGCCATAATGGTGCAAGTCTCCAAGGGTGTCATGTTTGACTACCTGCAACTAGCACCATAAACCACCAAAAAAGAGAACAATATGGCATTTGTACGTATGACACAAGAAAATACAATAAGCCAAGCTTTATTTGAACAGGAACCAGGGGGAGGTTTTTAAGGGAAAATTCACTTGACTTATTTACTTACGCTCATACCATTATTAACCCTTTGTGGAATATCCATGTACATAAACAAGTCAGAATAGATGGGCCCCCTCCCAGAGTACACATGTATATTTACATTTTACATTTTTGAGCATGTGTTGTACATGTATGTCACCCTAGCAAAATACAAAAAAAAGGAAATTGTTCAATGCCAAGGCAAATAATCATATAATAAATTACTTGTTCCAAAAATCATTTGCCCTAACCTAATATGAACAAGTAAAACATTATTCATAATTTCACTTTCCCATTTTTGCTTCCTAAACATACTCCCATGGGTTGATGTTTCTCCATCCCTCCTTGCACCTCAAAGGGTGAGTGAAGCAGTGAGTAATGAGGTGGAAGAATGAAAATTTCCACAGACAAGAATTTTGGGCCTTGATCCTTCATGATGCCTATTCTGTATCATACCATAGGATCTGATCTAACTGATTCTCAGGGACAACAACGCAAATTTAAAAGAGCAAAGGATACGAAGCTCCACAGGAAGTTGTGTATCGAGTGCATCTCGAATGGCAATGATCTCTGAGTGGAGCCCAGGGGTCTCAAACAGCCCCTCAGCCTTCAGGCCATGATTGTACAGGTGGTCCACAAGAAACCAGATCTCCTTTGGCACACCATAGCATGAACCAGGTGGTTCCTTCAGCCTCTCATTTTCCTTGAAATGCACAGATCAAATGAACAAAATAACCCAAGGATGACAAACTCCACCATCACAATTGCCATTGTCAACCATTTTATCCTCTTTTAAGCCTCAATTTTTTTGCTTGGAGTTTTTTAATTTTGGCAAGCTATAAGCCACCAACCCCTTGTACTGACATTAACACATAAGGGTCAGCTTTCATGGTTCACTTGGTCAAATCCCATTTGTCACAGTCAAAAAATGAAACTCCCATCTAGCAGGGCTCAAATTGCCAAAAAAGAAGTTGAACATGTTCAGTTATTCTCCCAGTCTCAATTCAGTCACTGGGTGATTGAACTGGCACTGGTCAGATGATTATAAATGCAAAGTTACAGTAGGAAACCTCCCATGCTCAAGAGGAGCATGGTGGCTGTTGCTTTGACATTGCTATGCTCACTGCTACAGCAGGCACAGCAACAACTTCTAACAAGTTGCCAATTTCACAATTAAAACTAATTTCCTCCAGTAAATACTGAAATATGCTGTCCATTCAAAATAAAAGTCTTCTTCTCAAGTTCTCTCCATTAGGCAGGGGCAAGGACATTGAGATTTGATGCAACTTGTCACAATCTTGCATTTAACTATGAAATTAGCTCCTTTTGACTTGCAACTGACAGATTTAGTTTCACAAATCAAACCATAGAAGCCCTAAATTTGAAGAAAGCATACCAGCTGGACTAGTTTTCCCACTGGGACTTCCCGGATGGGGACCTTGAGCTGGACAAGGGTGTTGAGGGAAAGGCCAAAGGAAGTGCGTTCATATTCTCCTGTTACAGTGATGAAGAGATCTTTCCCTCCATCCAGATGAAGAACAAGGATATCGTAGAGCTGGTCCTGACCGGAGTTCAGCCGACTAACAGTCCCTTTATCCACGTACACCTCCAGCTCCACATCACGCTTCTCCCCTACATACTCACATATTCAATACACCACCTCAAGTATACACGAAGGCTCAGGTCTCAAAGGAAGAAATGAATCTTTCATTTTCCTTGAGTTAAAATAGCATTCTCACTTCATTCACATTAATATTCTACAAAGTTCAATGAAGGAGAGAGCTCCTGTGACAACATAGGCACTCATTCTAATTTAGAACAAGAAATTTTCCATAATTGTAAATACTCTTTTAAATTTCATGTCATCATGCCATCAAGCATGTCATTTTGGGAAGGCAATGGAGGTAAAACCTCCCTTAGCCCTTCACCCGGCTTAGTCCCTCCCCCCTAATGGGGCACACCATATTGCATTATAAGACAGATGTAAGCAACGGGTGGCAGGAAGGGCACCTCCTGAAACCTTTATCCAACCCTGCTGCAGTTTTCTTAAATGGCATCCCTGCAAGCCATATACAGTAAATATTATCATTGCAACAATACTCTAATCGTGTACCTAAGTTATTGCCTCAATGATGAAGTTACTGTCTCAATGATGACCAAACTGAACTGATTCTGACTCATTAAACTTCACTACCAGGCATAAAAATATGTACTTGGTCAGCCTGTTAGATTCATTAGCTCTTGCATAATCCTTGCACATCCTACACATCTCAGCAAGGACATCTACTTTCCCTGAAACTTATTTCATCCTCTGTGAAATTGGAAGAGAAAAAATAGACATTTTGCAACACAGATGTGACACAATGTGCCTGAAGGACACAAGCCCCTGCAATCAAAGAAGGAAATGGAACAACTGAATGGGGGAAATGGTACACACTTGAAAGTTTGATATATGGAATTTCTTCATAATTTCACATTTGCTAATACCAGTATGGACACTATTACTGTCAAACAGTATATCATTTCATTTGGACCTCAATTGTTCTTAGATGATAATTCCTTTTTTTTTTTACTTGAGGGTCCTGGCAAGCTTCCAGAAAAAATGACAGCCAAAATGTCTGGGCTGGACAAATCCTGTCAGTAGAGTCCTGATGAAACAGGAACAAAGCATGGCAGTTAATTTAGAGTTGCCCGAACCTGGTTTGAGAAAGTCTGAGTAGGGCTGGATGTTGAGCCATGGCTTGCAGTAGCTGGTATCATTGAGCTTTTTGATGAACTCAAACTGAACTGGGACCTGCCCTGTGTTGGCAATGGAGAGGAAACGATTTTGTGGCTCCAAGAACCTCACTCGATCAAACACAATTTCTAGCTTGTCCACGGAGACTTGTGGGAGGAACTCATTCTCCAACTTGTCCAGCTTCTTCATCACCTCCTCATAGATACGACGGTATCGCACAGTGTCGATCACCTTTATCTGCAACAGGGGTTGACTGAGCATTCTGTTCTCATAAAATGAGTCAGAAATTGAGATGACTTTGATGGAGAAACCTACCCCAGCTTGAAAGACAGCAGAAATAGGTTTATGGTCAGATAGAGTAAGAGACATCTGGCTTTGGTACTCAAGGAGTTCAATGTGTTCCCCTTTCCACAGAATCCGGTCACACCAGGATGGTACCCGCTGTCTCTCTCTAAAGATATCAGAAAAACAAATGAATTGTCATATCAAGATAATTTAGACAAATTACAAAAGCCAGGCTGGCATGGAGTCAGGACTTACCCCGTAGCCCATGTCTCCTCAGTGTTCGGGTCATACTTGTAGGAGGGCTGGAATTTGATTTCACCCTCTTGGAAGCCCTGGAATGCTCGTTGGAGGTTTTGCTGCTGCTTCAGCTGGTCATGCACAAGGAGCTTCTCATAGGCTCTTTGCTTGATCATGTCCAGAGCATCCCCATAATCTACATCCTCTAGGCGGTAGTTGAGGTCTCCCAGCCAGTAGATCTGACTGAATGGAATGAAATGTCAGGAGTCAAAGGTCAACCTCTGACAATGTGAGCACAACTGATGCACACCAAGAAGATCCTATGCATCAAATATAGGAAGAGATGGAACTTATCAAATTAATGTGAGCTTAGATAAATAACGGGTGATGCGGGAAAATAGTGACTTGAATTGGTCGTCTGTATCTGGCCATCTGGCAATTACTTTCAAATGCTTTAATAGCCTATCTTGTAGCACATTTTATGTAGTTTCTCCCTGTGCTATTGGTTTTTTTTTTAACAATTGAAAAAATTTAGAAAAATGGCTTCAAAAGAAGATACCTTCAGATCCAGAGTGTACAAGTTCTATTCCGACAACATCGAGAAGGGAAAACTCCACACGGTTCGGCATTTCCAAGCTGAAGGGGTGCCCAAATGGACTGTATACCGGATCCTCACTCGTTTCCACAACAATCTACCTGCATCTCGTCAGCCTGGCTCCGGTGGTTCCAACAAAAAAATGACTCCGCGCAAGCTGGCTGCCTTGAGGCGGGCGATGGACAACAGGGACGGGATTTCTCAGCGCCAAGCGGCCAAGAAGTTCGGGTGCCATCAGAGTACGATCCAGAGAAGCCTGGAGAAGCTGAATATCAAGGCCCGGAAGAAGCAGCGCATTCCCCAACGATCTGCGGCCCAGATTTCCAACGCCAAAAAGTTGAGTGGGCGACTTTTTCGGAAGTTTGGAAAGGTCGCTTGGATCATCGACGATGAGTCCTACTTCACCCTCTCCCACTCCACCATCAGCGGTAACCAGACCTTTTACACATCCGACATCAACGCCACACCCCCTAGCGTTAAGTTTTCCCCGAAAACCAAGTTCGAGAAGAAGGTTCTGGTGTGGATTGCCATCGGACCAAATGGCATGTCGGAACCACTGATCAAGGAGTCCAAATTTGCGATCAACGGCCAGGTCTACCTCGAGGATTGCATCAAGAGTCGTCTGCTACCCTACATCAGAACCAACTACGACGACAATTATGTGTTTTGGCCCGACAAGGCCAGCTCTCACTACTCAAAAGTGGTGATTGAGCACTTGGACCGCGAAGGGGTGAATTATGTGGCCAAGGAGGACAACCCCGCGAACCTGCCGGAAGCCCGATCTATCGAGGACTTCTGGGCCATTCTGAAGTCCCGCGTTTACGCCAATGCCTGGAGAGCAGAAAACACCCGGCAGTTGACCAATCGGATCAGATTCTGCCTGCGGAACATGGACCGGAAACTTGTACAGCGCCTGGCAGAGAGTACCCGAAAACGGCTTGATGAAATCCGAAGGAACGGAGTCGTAGAAAATTGCTAGTATATGTAATTTGTAGTATTTTTCATGCGCTTTCAGATGATGTATAAAAGCTGTTGATGTGTTAATAAAATGATGAAGAAATTGTTGTTGAAAGAAAGTCACTATTTTCCCGCATCACCCGTTATCTTCCTGGAATTCCATGAAATTGAAGAACAGAGCATGGGAGAAGGTGATAGCTAACTCATGGTCCTTAATATTCCTTGGGGGTGTGAATGATTGAAAGGAAAGGCGAGAGCAGATTTCATGGTAGTCCTGGTTTCTCCTTTCCAATTCTGATGGATGTGCAGCTAGATGACAGTTGATGAAACACAGTGTGCTGCTATGCAGCTCCAATCGAATCCCAACTCCACCCTTATTCCCCTGCAGATGGCAACAAGGGGAACAGAACTCAGTTTGAAGTATGTCGAACATAAAGAGAAGCAATTTGTCATGATGCATGAACTGAAGAGCGGAAACACTCCCAACTAGGGATGTTACCAATGAAGCATTTTTTATTAATATCCAATGAAACAATAATCATGATGAATGTCTCACAGAATCCAGTGTTACTATCCCATGGAACCAGAAGGTATACTGATCATAAATATTGTAGGTTAACCAGCATAGCTTTTGGAAAGGGAAGGGAATTGGAATAAGGTGAGCCTCAATATTAATTTTTTGAAATGGAAGTCAGATCAAGCACAAAAAAGCGAAGCTTGCAGAGAAACCATCTCTGACTGGGAGTTGACAAAGCATTTCCTCTTGTGCCTAAACCAGAATCCTCAGAATGTATCTGTCTAGGAGAGCTACAATTGATTCAAACCCCCCCCTTTCAAGGCCATATAAAGACAAAAGAATGAGGCCTGAATGCTGAAACCTCCTTTAGTTAACTGTCCTTTAACCCTTTGTGGTTCTTTATTTTCACAAGCATGCCCACCGGGTCCAATTATTTTCCATGCATTTACTGTAGAATTTGCACCTTTTATTATAATAAACTTTCACTAACACCACTTAGATTCTCATCTTCCCATTCACAATAAAAACTCCTCCATATCATCATCACGAAGGGACAAGTTTCTAAATGTTAACTAAATATCTAAATTATTATTGGGGAAAGTGAAGAAACATTAGTAAAGGTTTCCCTAACAGATGATAGGCAAAACCACAATGTCCCACCCAGTGGAACAGAGGACTAAGTTAAGACTAAATTTAAAAACTTTGGTCCACCTGGTGGGACACAGGGCTGCAAAGGGTTAAGGAACCATGAACTCCTATTGGGGAAAAGAGCTCTTTAGCTTAAAGGCCCCTTTATCTTGTTAAAAGGAGGTTTCAGCATTCAGGTCTAGTCAGAGCAACATTAGTACAAATATGCCAATGCTAGAATGATAATGATACAAAATTGTGGATAGTCAGAGAGAAGATGCAGCTAAAAAAGTGTTTATTAATTTGCTTGAAGGGATATGGAGAAGTGAACAGTGAGCATAGAAGTAGCAGTAGGAAGGAGGTAGTGGGTCCTGAGTGAGGCCAGCCCAAGGAGGTGGAGTAATGCAGGATGCATTTTTGTTTACTCAACCTAATTTGGCATTCATGCTGATTGTCATGAAATTTGACATTTTCTGTGGAGATGATTGTGGAGAACAGATGAGTCCAGTGCATACCTGGTGCTGGACTCATCTGTTCTCGCTTTGGAAGTAGCTTTCACACATATCTCTCATGGTGTTTCTCCCAAGGTTTTCCATTTCTTTAGGAATTCCCACCTCCTTCCATTCACCATCAGACCAACTGCACCATTGCCAGAGAATAAAAATGTTAAAAAATGGAAGGCTTTTGCCCTTGGATTCTTGGCTTTTTCTTCCAGAGCATCCCCTGTGTCTACCCTCTTTTGCTGGTTCAAGCACTGCTAAAAAGCAATGTTTAACCAAGTACATACTTGAGTGTGCATGATGCTTTTACAATGATGGCCCAAGTATGTACTCAGGCTCTGAAAGCCAGTCCATTTAGGTTGTTTCTCCTCTAATCATGTATGTGACTGCCGTGTATTTGGTATTGTTGAAACAACAACATCATTTTCTATGTAACAAGGGTGCTTGTCAATGCATTGAATAACAAGAATAAGGTGCATATCTTTACTGACCCATTCCATCGAAATGGTTTCCTACTCATGTAGTTTTGCATTAAATGATGATAAAATAAATATACTTTTAAATGCTGATTCTGACATTTCCAGTGTTGGTAGTGAAAGTGAAGGTGATGTGAAAATGGAAGTTGAAGCTGAAATTTAAGATGAGGATTACAATGATGGAAGTGGAGATGCAAGCAGGAATAGAGTTAGATCAAAGGGGCAAAATATTGATGATGTACCTGAGATTAGCAAGAATCCCCATGCAACTCATTTCCTGACATTTACAGGAAATCCTGGATTGAAAATAAATATTCCAGGCAACCCTCCCTGAGATGGATGCTTCTGAACTAATTTTCACAAATGACTCAGGTCAATTTATATGTTCCTGGCACGATGTGTCCAAGGAAGTTTCCTTGAACATATAGTGACAAAAAGGTAAATTTCCATCAGACCTTTTTTCTAACACAACTGAGTGAATAATATTCAAGGGTAAAATAAAGGAAAAACCTCTCTGTATAGGATTTTCATACACTTATTTCTGCACTGATTTCAATGAGCATTAAAAAAAGACTTACTATTCAGTCTTACTGGAAAATGATGAACTTTTCATCATTCTTGCTTTTGATAAAATCATGTCTGTCAAAAGATTTATACTCATCTCAAAATTCCTGCACTTTTCTGATAACAACAGTCTGGATGTTCCTGGACATAAATAAATAAACATTTTTTTGGTCTATCTTCAATAGTTTTCAAGATGTGACAATTTAAACTTAAACCATTGTTCACAGGGAAACAGCACAATTATGACACAATTATATCTTTTTTTAAGCAGTAAAGGGTTAAAATGGAACCTTGGATATCAGTTTATTGATGGGCTAGTCACATCGGTTTTCTGTTAAAACTGATACAGACATTTATTGGCTCTTTTTTATTGGTGGGATAAATTATCGATACCATCCCTACTCTTGAAACTGCCACTGAAGGAGCAAATTGCTTTTATCTATCATCAACAATAAGGTCATATGAGGATAGTAGAAGGAAAATTCATAGACTATGAAAATAGTTCTTTTCAACAATACTCCCATCAGCTCCCTATACCCTCTGAAGTAGAAACTGGAATCCTCATTCACAAGAAATAGGCAACAACAGGGACACAATGCTGTATTGCTAGATGAATTCATTATTTCTGAGTGTAAGTTAAACCCCAAAGAGAGCTCATTTAATCTTTCCATTTCATTCTTCCCACATGCCTACTGAACATTGATATGTCTTACTTGAAAAAAAAAGACCAGCATTGACAGAAGTGATATACAGTAGGCCAATTTCAACTCTGGAATGGAAATACATAAGTAAATACAGAAAAAGTACATCACATGATCTGGATTCAGTTCAACATGCATGAAATCAGATTGAGGAAGAGTATCAGTTTGAGCTGATCAGTGCAGCAGACAAAAAAATAAATTACAATTAATGTTCCCTTCTTCACACAGGATAGTGGACCCAGGAGAGCAGCTGGCACCATTCATAGAAAATGCTAATCCCCAGAACTTGAAACAAACCCCCACATACAGGTGAAAAATAAAACTGGTAAGATAGACATACCATCTTGCCCATAAGTCCTGTGCCAACTGTCTCGGCAGCAACACCTCTGATATAGGCGGCATGTCGCTCCTGGACAAAGACTAGAAGAAGCATGCCAACAAGTCGCACCTGTTTCACCTTGTGGTAGCGTGCCATGGGATGAAGGGCATTGATCACAGCAATCCTGGAGGAAAAAGAATCATTCATCTTCCAAAGGTATTTGAGCCCTCAATAAATCAAAAGAATACTTACGTCCACTCCTCTTCCCTTGGAGTATCATTGAAGAGAAAGGCTTCTTTGCTATTGTCAAGTTCTTGAAAACCAATGGCATAAATATCAGGAGGCTCGGGGTCTTTTGAAAGCCAGTCTGGGAGAGGCACACGCTCATTTGGTGCACGCCCATTCACATTCCAAGACCCCACAAATACCCTGAAACATTTGTCAAAGTATGGGTTGTGTCAGAAGCCTAATGAAGTCTCTGTTCACCAAGTAAGGGAACAGGGTGACCCAATCAAGAAATGCAAAAGAATTTTGAAATATTCTTTATAAATTGTAAGGTAAAGTACTACTAAATCAATAACAATTAGGTTTTCTAAAAGATGCATATGCAACATTGTGGTACTGAGCCTCAGAATCAATGAATATAGGGGGCTGCTGAAGTCTGTTAATTAGTTAATATACAAATTATACATCAGAAATTTACCAGGTCCATAATTTCTAGTTACATTGCTGGATCAGACCATACTTGATACTCCAACAAAATAATTTTCAAAATTTTTTGCTTGATGTTAACTTTCATCTGATGAAAGGATGACTGCTGTCTTGTAGAAAGTATTTTTCCATGACCAAAAGGTGCAGGTGCTATACCACAACTTTTTGGAAACATGTTCTGATACTACGTCAATAATAACTTCAATTTCAACAGTTTATGTGTTGACAACAGAACAGTTGCATCACTCAGCTAGTGAGTGTTTACAAGTTCCATATAAAAAATCCAACTAACACTGAAGATTTAAACCTGTACAATAAAGGTTAATATCAATTTAGCCAAAAAATGGAACATGGTTGTTGGAGAGGGTGGCTGTTCTAATATGGCTTTTTTGCTAAGTTAACAAATATATGGTATGTCAACTTCACCAAAAACTGAGATAAGTTCATCAGAGTTTTATTGCAAAATGGTTCTTTAGCATGGGGAAGATTTAGGCCAACTACATTAACTATTTTGATACAGGCATAAATGCAACAAGAGGGAGCAGGGGATCAGCCACTCATCCCATAATTTAAATTTTAAAAGGGGAAGAAAAGGTTGGTTTTCCCCACAAGAAATTCTTAATTTATGCTTGCTACTTCATGAGGGAGGACAGAGTCTTAAAAATAAAGCCTTGCTTCATTTTTCCTGCTTGTCATCCAAGACTGAGTTGATGGAGGAGAGGGGGAGCTGCTTTCCAAGGGACTGGGAGCCTTTCCTAATCCTCTCCATAGTGGATGGGATGAAAACATTACATTCATTGCCTCCACACAAAAGGAAACCTAGTGCACCTATGGATACAGCCTGATCTGTAGAGCCTCCAGACTGAGACTCTAAACAATGTCATTCATAAAGGAAGTGAAATACAGTGCAACATATGACTAATGTATCCTCCCCAAAGTAATGCAAATAGAAGAAAGGACAATTTATGCATGATGCTATCCCTGTAGCACAGTTAAATTATCATAATTGCACTTCTTCAGGGATTAAGCTTAACCTCTTTCCTACGGATGATGTATACATATGCGATTCATTATCTCAATTTTCAAAGTTGTAGAGCTATGATGAAAAGCATAGCTCTACCTGTTTTTCGTTCTTTGTACCTGTTTCTCTATACCTTCCTACAGATGACGTATATATTTACATAGTGGGACTTAGCGCCTGGCTGAGGCTGGAATAATACCATTAGGATGCTGGGCTGGCTCAATCAATCCCGTGGTCAAGGGGTTAAAAAAGGCTAAGGTCAAGCAGGCCTAGCTGAACATTTGATACTTTTCTTTATTTACCTAATTTGTACCAACTCCATGCAATCATGCCTATGAAATCTTTCTAGCTGTCCTCCAATTAGGTGTCCCTCTCTCTCTTCAAAAACATATTGCACCTCACACCCTAGCATTTCATGTCTTTATCATTGGCATAACCAGATTTCCATGATTTCAAAGGACAAAACCTAAAAGATGACTATGTGACCATGACATCAACAAATTGAAATTCTGGCTTATATAATTTTCTAGTTTATACTGCCACAGTGAACAAGCCCAGCTAAATGAACTTGAGATACAATAGACATTCATCTTGTTAAAAAAGGCCATGTGTTTATAAAAATAAACATATAATTTCACTATTACAGTGCATGGAGAACATTACTGACAAGGGCTTAATTGGCTCAATACAATAAGATGGCTACCAGGCACACAAGGCTCAGGGCCCATGGATGCACCTTCACCCTGGAATCCCAACTAAAATTTTCTCCCCTTCCCATATAAATTCCAATTCCTGTAACCACACCTAAAGCCAAGTATCACTTAACCTTAGGAAGCTCCATTTGCACCAACAGGTTACTCTAAGGATATGCTATCCAAGTTTGGCCTTCACCACTGAGGTTCTTTGATCTCCCACACCTGGAGACAGGAGCTCAAGAGTCTCCCTATCTAAACAAGCTGGAAAAAGTGCTCAGATATACAGGGCATTAAAGAGCTGACAAATGGATATATTTTCTTTATATTTCAGGTCTCTGACATCATAACCATGATCTGATGCCTAATAGTGATAGCCTGGTTCAAGAAGACAGTTTCCTGTAAATATCAAACCAATCCTCCTGAAATTATGTCTTCAATATGCACAACTTTTGAATGATGCAAAATCCTCAGTTGAATGAACACCAAAGAGGGGCTGATTGAGGTTCAAAGGGAATTTCAACAAGTGTATAACAAGGATCCACCAATGATATAAGGCTATTCACAAGGAATTCTTTGACAGGTTGACCGCCATGAGGCACACCAGTGTGCCTCACCGAATGGGAAAAAAAATAGGCCAGCATTGCCATGGCAGTCAATGTGTTAATACTGGTTCAGTGTTAGACATCACTCATGATGCATCTAAATGTTCACAAGCTAAGTTAGGCTTCCTGAATTTGCCTAACATGAAAATCAAGGTCTGCCACAAGAAAACTGTACTGATTTGATTCTTAGCACCAAGCACAAAATTTTCTGTTTATTGAGTGATGACCAATAGAAATAGCTACTGTGGTGGCTTGGGCATACCTGAAGTGATGGATATCAGTGTAGGCTTCTTCTCTCATGGCCATCTGGTACCTCACAACACTCTCACGGGCAGCAATGGGAGTCTGTCCCAAAGCAATCCCTTCACGAGGGATGTCTAGTTCATTTGATCCATCTTCCCATGCAGTGCGATTTCCTTCTTCACATGGTGTGGGGACACGAGCAATGTCTGTGAACTCTGAGGCATCAGATTTTGATGCAGCTGAGCCAGGACGAACACTGGAATTGGCAATGAACTGGTAGTCTTCCAACCAACTGAAGTCTGGAGCAGGGCCTCTCCTTTTGCTAGCAGCTGTTATTAGAAAAGGAACTCAGTATAAAAACAAAAGCCAACTGATCCAAGCATACCAAGATGGTAGAGAGAGCAACTATTTTTATATTTAATTTGGGGTAAGGGAATTGGCCTCTGGATTTGTGAAAGGGCAATGGAAAATTATGTCCCTTACCATCTATGGCACGAACAAGTTCCCCAAAGAACATGTCAGATTCCTTTCCATAGGTGAACTCAATGAGGAGTTTCACCTTTTTCCATGAAATATTAGCAAAGGTTTCCCGTTCTCCTTGACTCTGGGATGGGACATCTGAAACAAAGCCATCTTAATTACACTTCAATATAACCTATTGATCTAAGCAAATGAAGCAGCTCATGATCAATAACCTGAATACTGGTACCATTAGACAGATGCAGATCTATTATACCTTGCAACATTTTCTGCTTTTTTAAATAAATATCCCTCCCTCCTGCCCCCAGATATGGAAGGAATCTTTTCACATTATGTTATTATAGACTGCAAAGAAGGAAAACTTGAAAATTTCTGACTCCTGCTCTCACCACTCCTAAATATCCTTTCTGATTTTTGGCCCCACTCTCTAACAGATGAGTTTCACTGCTGATTCCCAAATCTGTGGAAATTCTCTACACAAAAACTAGGCTTGATTTAATGTTCCCTTCCTAGCTTCCTGTTTTATGCTCTCTTTATTCAGGCTTGCAATCATTAGTCTCTGCCACCTTTGCAGCAAGATACTTCACTCTAGGCAACAGTGAAGGATTTATGCTTCCAGTCATCCTGTCCTCTGACTAACTTTCCTTCATGTTTATTCCCTCCTATTTGCTTTTTCTTTAACTTCCAATACTCCCAATTGATTGTGGGATCAGTTCTCAATCCTGCCAATCCTGATAATTTTCAGTCCAACTCCGAAAGGTTTTCACTGGTCTCACCCAGTGGGAAGAAAATGGGAGTCTCAAAATCAGAAATCCCATTTACCTCTCTCACTGATATACAGATAGCATGCCATCCTTTGATCCCAGATTTGCTAGCATGGAATATTAAGATATAAAAATTAATTTATTGTAGGTTCTTGCAATACCAAATCCTGCAAAGAGGGTGGATATTAGCAAGCCCTTGAAAGACAAATTGACCTTCATTGCCTCTGCAAGGAGAAGGCTGGAAAGGAAGGCATCTTAAAACATGTATTTCTTTGCTGATAAAACCAGTGCACTCTACCCCCTCCTAACAGCTGAGGGGATGAACCCCTCAAATCAAAAGACAGTTCATCCACACTTTTGAAACACTCTGCCAAAAACAAACACTATACTTCTCTATTCCACAAACCCCTTGTTGGGGTAGTGAGGTTTCAGACCCCTACAACACCCACTTAGGCTGCTTGAGGAGATGCATCACTCACAAGCCTAAGTTAAGAAATGTGTCAGTTACCTGGCAGGTAACCAAAACTCCCCCTCACTTGGTCAAATAAGAGAAGAAAAAAAATTCACTCTAGCCATGGTTTCTTGCATGCCTTATATCTTACAAATGTAGTTGTCCTAGCTCTCCTTCACACCCATCAACTCTACAATGCTATAGAGTTGTATTACTTCTGGAGACCTTCAGATCTACCAAGACAGAAATACTGCATATACATCACTCTCCTGAAACTGTCTAGATCCTCTGCTTCCTGAATTGAGGAGGCACCAACACCTACAATGACCTTCTTCAACTACTTAAGCAAACACTATTGAAACTGGGGGCCTTAATGTATGTAGACTTCATAACTAGACCTGGTCAACAATAAACCTAGATTTGCCTATGTGAGCATACATCAACTAAAGAAGCTTTATCAGAGCTTGCGTTTACGCGCAGATGAGCGTCCTATACACACAAAATTCTTAAGGGACACACAACAGAAAAACATTGGGGTCCCAGGGACGCGTGGGAAAGTTCTAGATTTTCTGACTGGTTTTCAGACCAGTTAGCAGTTGCCTCTTAGAACCGTGCCTAAATAAACCCATGTGCAACCTTATTAGTGACAGGAAGGGGGGGGGGGAGAGTCCTTGCCGAGAAAGGTGTGCGACGTGAAAGTGATGAGAATGGCACATGATGCATTGTGTTCACACGTTCATGACGTATTTCCGTTCGTTTCAATTTAGACTTCAGGGCGGTTTGGGTCAACACTCCTCTCGTTCAGTTACAAGCGGAATATGTACGATGTTAGTTTATTCTAATCACACGTTGGCATGCGTTCAGATGTTCCTGAACATGGGCCTAGTGGCAAATAAAGAAAGGTATCCGTGTAGCAGGTATAAATTCTAAACGAAGGTGATGTCATCTTTCCACTTAGGGTGCACAGAGAAGGGAAGATTGCCATAGGCTTTGACCTAGTCAAACCAAAGGGAAAGAGATGGACGTGGGCAATTATGAAAATGGGCAGCTTGTGAACCATGAATCACAACATAGGAAAAAAGATTTTTAAATTTGAAAAAGGTATGGGTCAAAATGTACTCCTGGCTTTCCTATAGAGATGGAAGAGCTTCCTGTGATTTCTGCTCAAATGCAAATAAGAAAAATCCCTACTCTGCATCTGGCAGTCATAATAAGCAGAAGTTTGTAATTTGAAAATTTGAAGATGCCCTAGGGATATTTGTTAAAGAGAAAATGTTGGAAGTAGTCCTAAAGCTGCTGGATTGAATATCATTCTTTTGGTCATGTTAAATCAAAGAAAAAACATTGACTGTGGGATTTGAAACTTTTTGTGCAACTTTACAAGATTTCATCATGCTTCAATTGCGATGGGACTCCCAAATTTTTCTGAGTGACCCTTTCTTATAAGACTTGAGAGTCCTGAGGACCCTTAAGGCAAGAAAATTAGTGCAAGCCCTGGAACAAGTAGACTGACCTAAAGTGATTAGATATATTTTAATGAGATATTGTTCAACTTGTCTTACTCTGGTGGTATGAATTTTTATGATTCTATGTGCTGACCTGATCACCTAGCTATGAAAGTATGAGTCCTATTTCACATTTGGAACACAGGTCAACCTAACCCCTCAACTGTGAAATTTTTTTCTACTAAACCTTCTACTGTATTTTCTTTTGGAAGACCCTGGCTGTGTAGGGCATAATGTTGCACCCTACGTAGGCAAGGGGTTAAAGCATGTCATGCTCAGTTTGACTTATGTTGTTCTGGTGGTTGACTTTTTGTGTTCTCATACTGACCACATACAGGTTATGTAAAATAAGTGCATAGAAATGCAACCATACGGATGGACCAGATTTGTAACAGTTCCTTACAAACACATTAAAGGAATGCCTATGATTGGGTGAGGAACAAAGTGAGTATTTGCATGCAAATATAGTGTGACATGTGCTTCATTTATCCATAGGTGCCAGGACACTTGTTCACCTTTACCAAATCCCATTCCAAATGGAGCAGTGGTGTCCCATGAGCCGAGTCAATGGAAGCGCCTGTTCCAGGTGAAGAAAGTGCGACCCAAGGGACACCAAACCCAGCAGGGCCTCGTGGTGCAGAAGAAGCCCCTTCAGAAGTCAGAGCGTGCTCAAAAGAGCACCTCAGTGCCCTCTGTGCTCTGCACCCCAAAACGGGAACGAAAACGCCGGGAATCAGAGCATTGCACCCGTTGGACACCTGCTCAACGCATGGAGCGCATTGCCATCTTGGCCACACCCAAACGCATTCGTCGCACCAATCTCGTCCCTCGACGAGATTCTGTGATAGCAACACTGCCATTATAGTGTCATCAGATGCTATAATAACCTTTTGACATTCTCCCCAATTTGGGTTGCTTCTGCAGAGCAATTGTCATATTGGTACCTTGTTCTGTACCAGACAAGTTTAAATATGGATCACCATTTTGTGTTCATCCTTGATCTCATACTCCCAAGTCTGTCATTTCCTTGTATATTCTGCTTGTTGAGGAAGCCCTGTTCATGTTGTTGCTTCCCATTGGAAGTGGAGTTTGAGAGCAAGGTATTTTGCAATGGATTAATCAAGAAACAGAACAGATTGGCATCAATAATATCCAGTATAACAAGTACATTGTGCTTCCTTGAATCTTGTAGTTGTTCTGTTTTAAAGATCAACCCCTCCCTTGCAAGGGGCAAGGACAACCTTGCTGGAACTTGGCTGAAAAAAAAAAGGCCATGGGCTTGTGATGGCAGAGGTCACGAAGTGAGAAATTTTAAAGATTAGTCATCCTGTTGTATCATATGAAACCTTTATTTTATAGAGTATATAAAAAAAACTCCATTCTTTTTGTAGAGGGTGCCACATCTTGTGCACACTCTCCTAGTCGAGTTTCATCATGCTCAGAAGGTGCAGCATTTAGTCTTTTATCCCTTTTCTTCAGTCCATAAAAAAAATTGCCCAAAATGAAATGCAATCTCATTGGCCACAACATATTTGACCTCACTTCTGTTTGTCACATCTTTACATACCTTTCATTCTGGACATATTAGTTGATTTTCTTGGTACCTCTTTCTGCTGTGGAGTTTTGCTGCAATTTAGTGGTTGCATGACATCCTTACCTTTTTACTTCAGCATGGGATTGAAATATTTCAGAGTTTATTGCAGGAAATTCAGCATCAGCAAGGAGATCATTTTGGAGATGTGCTAAAACTACCATAATTTCTATGGTTCAATTTCTCACAGAAATATCCAAATCTGCCTTTTTATGAGATTCTAATTTAATCTGAATCTCCATTCCTTTGAAATTATTATTTCAGAATTTAATTAATTAATTTTCAGACATTTAAGATCCAATTTATTAATCAGTGTAATTAGAATGATCAGGATCAATATTTGGAATACTAAACCCAAATCAAGTCTTTCTAACTGAATGATAATTTTCAAATTCCAAATCAAAATCTAATCCTTTTTTTCCTTACAACACTTCTGTAGTGACCAGAAAATGGTGTAACTATGAAACCATGTGTTCTTGAGTTCTATGCTTCTTGAAAGAACAGTAGGCTAAGCAGGTAGGTGGGAAAAGGATAGGACACGTGCAGTACTCCAAAATTTCAGAGCAATACTGGCTTTGCAATGTTTAATGCATGTTTTTTCCAGCATCCAAAGGGAAGAATAAAAGAAGCAAAGATTTGCAAAAAGAAAAATTTGAAACATTGTATCCTCTCATCTGAGTCTCATGTAAAAATGTATCATTTACATTTGAGTCAAACCAATCATTATTTCAAGGTGATGCAAGGATCAAAAGGCAAATTCCACTTAACAATGATTCACAGCTCAAATTACACTGCATGTTAGGATTGGGCATTCTATTTATTTCTTATATGTTCTTGTAAGGAAAGAGGCAGCAGCCAGGATAATGCCTTGTTTAATCATTTTCCTCCCATGAATGTGAGTTATATCTATCCCACAAAGAAAATGAGAGAAACATTTATTTTCAAACATCCTATA